GCAAATTTCACAGAGCTTAAAAAACATTGATAAAACTCAATTTACTAGATATAATTCTATCTGAGCTCAAATCGGTACAGTCTAAGCTACAGCTTAATCCAAGGATAAATGTAGAGGACCCAGTGTTGCAAGTGTTTAGAAAGAACTGGACAACCAAACTCAGTAGTAATTCATCAGTGAGATGTAGCTGGAAGGAACGTGGGTTTTATTTTGTTTTTAAATTTGCAATGTTAGAACATGTTTGAATAGTAATGGAAATGATCGAGTTAAGTGGGAGAGGCTGATGATCAGGAAAGAGAAAGGAGTCACAAAGCAATGAAATCTTTGAGAAAGAGAGAGGCGGTGGGATACAGGGCCTGGGTGGCGGGCACTGGGGGCATTCAGGGGGATTGAAGGAGGGTTTGGATGTAAGTCACACCTTTTGGAGAGTGGCTTGTGAAGATGGATAGAACAATGGAGACAGGGATTTCAGGGAAATGAGATGTCGCAGTTGTTGACATCTGGGGACATCTGAGGGATTGAAAGAGCCTGTTTGATGCTAGCACAGTGAATCAGAAAAAGAAACACATCCAGACACTGTTTTTAAAATCTTGGAGCACTAAGGATTAGGAGCATATCCTCAAAGATTAAAAAGGAAAAAGCAAGCTACTCAAAGAACATGAATTAAGAAGATTGGCTTGGATGCTAGAACACAATGGAAGAATTTTTTGCAAGATTTGAGGGAAATGATTTTCAACTTAGATTTCTGTTCCCAACTAAACCGGTCATTAAAAGTGAATGCTGAGTAAATACATATTTTCAGTGTCACAAGCAGGGTTAAGCAATTGCAAGTAGCAAATTTATGTAGCCTCGAGTAGGCCTTGGGGAAAAGAAAAGATAAGTAATACAATGAAAGATTATCCTGAAAGATTTTAACATGCTAGAATGAGGGATTGAATTGAATAAGATCAAGTTTAAAAGTCCTTTGCTTGTCTCTTGATTATTTTGCTTTCAGGTATAATGAAAACATTGTAGCCATGCATGTGAATAAGGGTTGGGCCTTGAGAAAAATTTTCTTTTTGCATCTGCCAAAAGAAAGCATCTGTAATCTTTTTAAAAACTTATTTATTTATCAAAATTAAATTTATTGGGGTGACATTGAATTTACAGGGGTGGGCAAAATTAAGTTTATGGAAGTATGTGGAAATAATACAATAATAAATATTAAAAAAGAATAAACTCACAACTGTAAACCTATTTGCATTAATATGTCATCGGTATATTGCATTGTGGACCCACCACACAAAGTATAGTCTCTTCCTGTCACTATCCTTTTGTCCCCCTTTACCCTCACCACTCTCCCCCTACTCCCCTTGCCCTCTGGTAACCACCATACTTTTTTGTCTATGCCTGTGAGTTTGTTTTGTTTTGTTGGTTGCTTTCTGTCTTATATTCCACAGCATATGTAATCTTGAAACATATTAACCAAAATATCTTCAGAGGAAAGCATGTGAGAGGCTTGCTCTTGCCTCTATTCATTTTGCATTCAGCAGACATGTTAGATATGAACACTGGTGGCTCTGGTGGCGCTCCTGGACTAATGGGAGAGACAGGTAGAGAACCAATACTCGAACTTGGTGCTGACAGAAGCCCACTTCAGGTGCAATTGCAGCAAAGGAGTGAGGTTCCATAAGTGATTTTGTTTGTGAAAGATCTTGAAGGATGAGTAGGAGATTATTGGGTGGAGGGTACTCCACAAAGAGGAAAAGGTATCTTCAGATGCTGGATAGAGCATGGGGTTTTAGAAATCAGGGAATTTTCTTCCGTCTGGGAATTTTATATAGTAGCGGCTTTGTGATTTAGTGATAAGTGTAATGACCAAATCCAAAGTCACCGGAAACCCACCCCATGCCACTGTGTACACTTTAATGTGTGCAGTGAGTCATCAATATATTACTGTTTTATATTTATCTTAGAACTTCTTAGCTATATTATCAAGGGACAATGGCCAAATTATATAAATCCAGCTTGGAAAAAGCCTTTTGAAAAGTAAATTTAGAGAAATCATCTACAGTTTCCACTAATATCGAAGAGGTTGTATATTTAGAATATTATACTAATATCTACTGAAATTGTTTATATTATTTTCTCAAACTTCTTGGCTCCAAAAGCCTTCATCTGCCTTTCCATCTCGCATTTAAAAATTTCCAAATAGTATAAATTATACTGATGCTTTGTTTATGACATGAATACAAACGTTATTTATATTGATGAACTTCAGATGTTCTGACATGAATAGACACTGACGTGATGCATTTTTGTGCCCTGCTTAGTTAAATCCATTATTTTCTCCATTTGTAGTAGAGTGGAATGGCAATTGACTGCACTCCAGTCATCTAAATTTATTTCATTTGGAAGCTGGAATGATTATTTCCACTGAGCTGCTATTACAAGATGCAAAGGAAAAAGGATAAAAAAAAATAAATCGAATGTTCATTTTGGCAGCTATTTTAATTACCAGTATTGTAAGGGTGTATTTTAAAATACAACTTTCTTCTTTCATGTTATATTATAAATAGATTTTTATTTCTCCTTTCCATGAAATGCAGATTCTGGAAAGTTTCCAATGCAATGTTAACTATTTTGAAACATAAAAACTGAGAAAATGCTTAATCATCAAAATAATGCCGGAGAAACCTTTGACTCATTAATTCTTGTTGATTTTTGGTAATCTGAAAAAAATCCACTTAAGAATAATTTTGTTTATATTTCTAAATCCCAAGGATAATTTTTTGTTATAAAAAATTAGTTTTTCTTTTTTCCCCTCATGTATTGAGGGAAATAAGAAAATAATTAAAGCCCAAAATGTTACAGAAAATATTACATCTATTTAAATGTTTATTATTTTTGCAATTCTATTATTGTTGACATTCATGCATTATACTTGGTCATAGTAGTGTACTGTCTTAGTCCAGTTGGGCTGCTATCACAAAATACCAGAGACTGGGTGGCTTTTGTACAATAGAAATTTGCTTCTCGCAGTTCTGGAGGCTGGGAAGTGCAAGATCATGGCTCTGGTACAGCGGGTGCCAGGTGAGAGCCTGCTTCAGGTTCATAGGTGTCTGTCTGTTTGCTATGTCCTCATATAGCAAAGGGGCAAGAGAGTTCTCTGGGGTCTCTTTTATAAGGGCACTCATCTCTTTCACGAGAGCTTCACCTTATGACTTAATCATCCCCCAAAGGCCCTACCTCCAAATACCATCACATTGGGCATTAGGGTTTAACATATGCATTTTGGGGGGGTTATATATATATTAAACCCTCATCAAGAGATATGTTTTTATTGATTTTTAGAGAAGGTGGAAATGGGAAAGAGAGAGTCCCGATTGAGGATTGAACCTGTAACCTAAATATGTGCCCTGTCCAGGACTGAGCTCTCAACCTTTTGGTGTACAGGACGATCTGCCAGCCAATTGGGCTACCCAACCAGGGCTTGACCAATATTTTTCAACATCTAATTGTGATTGATAGAAATTTTATAATTCAAAGATAAATTGCATTTTTATAGGTTCAGTAAACCCTTGATTTTGTGGTCCTCAATTTAACAGACTTTGGATTCTAGTCCATATGTCATATGTGAAAATTAACACCCTGCTAATTTAAAAATGCTTTTAACCAAGATATACTTATAGTTAAATTAACAGGTTATTTTTTGTTATTAATTCACTGTTATTTTTAATGAATTTAAGCGAATAGGCCATATGTTGGGAAGAACACTAGTAATTTCATTGACATAAATGGATACTACATTTCTACAAGTAGAGCCCACATATTTAAATCCAAGAGCACTGCTTGTAAACAATGTCCAGGAAGGATTAGTACATGCATCCTTCATGGTAGTTGGTTCTGTTGTCACTTGGTGTGACTTTCAGCAGCATTTTGTTTTGTTTTGTTAATCCTCACCTGATTGATTTTTAAAGCCCAAAGGCCCTACCTCCAAATACCATCACATTGGGCATTAGGGTTTAACATATGCATTTTGGGGGGGTATAAACATTCAGTCTATTTCAAGTAGCTGTGGGGTATCTAGAAGTTTATTTATATTTAAATTTTTCATTGATTTTCTTTAGATTTTTTACTTGTTTCACTCCACACCGTGGAAGGGAGGAGGAGAGACAGAGAGAGAAAAACTTTGATGTGAGAGAGACATATCAATTGGTTGCCTCCCGGGGATCAAGCCTGCAACCAAGGTATGTGCCCTTGACTGGAATTGAACCTGCAACTTCAGTCTGCGGGCCAGTGCTCTGTCCACTGAGCCAAACCTCCTAGGACGGCAGCAGTTTTAACGTGAGCAGGTGATGTTCCATGTGCGCTAACCCTCACCCCAGCGTGCGCATTTGTTTACTCTTGGTGAATGGTGAATGCACTCATTGACTAGACCTACTCAGTATAAATTTAAAATTACTGTAATACACACAGAAAACTTTTCTGTGAAATTAAACTTTAATTTTACAAATGTGTCCACATAAGGAAAAGCATATAAATAAATAACTTTGTCAATTTTTTAACGTACACATTCAGAAAACCTACTTTATTATAGAATGGCCTTCCGGCTTTAATGGACACTCCTTGGCTGAATTAGTCCATGATATGGAAGTTTAGTGTAATGATACCAGATTGTATTTTTACAATGGCTGTTTTCTTACCTTTAAAGTAAAGTGTTGTTTGTTTGTTCTTTAGAAGGACCCAAATTTGAGTGTTTTTTTTTCTTATTGTACTGTAACGTATTATAAGATACATACAGAGTAAAAAGGACCATACGCTATAGCTTGGCACTGTGACCACATACCTTTGGCGTTAAATTTGAAAATGTTAAGTGACTGATGCAGAAAACCTCAATAATGCATTACAAATATTTTATCAAGCCAGTAGAAATTGTTTCTATATTCCATCAAAGACATCTTTGTCCTTTTTGTTTTGGTATCCATTATCAGAGTTAGTAACAATTCATGTATTTTCAGCTAGTAATAAGCATTTTTATTAATTATTTTTTCCCTCTCCTAGAACGATATCGCATTCAGAGTGAACAATTTGAAGATCTTTGGCTCATAACAAATGAACTTATTATCCGCCTCGAAGAATATTTTGAAAAGCAGGGAAGCAAAGATTTCGCATGTTCTTTTTCTGGATCCATGCCCCTTCAAGAATATTTTGCATTGATCGATCATCATTTTGAGGTGTGTATGATTAGAACAAATATTATTTATAATTTTTCAACACATTAAAGAAAGAGATGCTGCAGAGGTAAGAATTGTACGATACACGCTATTCGGCCAGATGCTCCAACCTGTTCTTCTTTTATGGACAGTAGTTTTTGTGAATCTGGTTTGTGCCTGGAGCTAAGCATGTGGTCTTGCCTCAGAACAGAGCTGATTTAATTCCTCCACATGAGGACTTGACCTTTGACCCCAATAATATGGTGTTGAAACAATTGGAGCTTATCGGCAGCCATTAGGCTGACTAACACTAGCGGGCCATAAATGAGGTGTGATTGTAAAGCAAAGTCATTTTTCCTTTCCTTTCTTAACAAGCACACCACAACTTCTGCATCTGAATGAGGGTAACCACATAAAATATTCGGCAGTATCTGGCACCATGGACGCTTAGTAAAATGCTAAATGACTAAATGTCTAAATAAATGAGATCTGACAGTAACTTTGTTGCCTGAATATTTAATTGTTTTAAAAGTCCCATGTGTTAAAAAAATTCATCAGGCTCTACTTATTTATTGGTCTATAGGTAGACTTTGTAGGCAATTACAAAGGGGAATTGCAGAAGAATTTTGAACATAATTCAAAGAAGCTAGAGTGAGTACTTTTTGAGGACTCAATAGGATTTTGCATTTCTGTTTATAAACTACTAGAGGCCCCGTGCACGAAATTCTTGTGCAGGTATGGTCCTAGGCCTGGCTTGCGATCAGGGCCGTTTTCCCTGGCTGCTCGCAGCTGGCCCTGCCCCCCCACTGCCACCCACCCCCGGTTCCCCCATTCGCCATCAGATGATCGGTGCCAGCCGGGGGAAGGGACCGAGAGGTCCGCTATTCCTGCCCACTCGCCAGCCCTGCCCCTGCCACGAGTCGCCCTCTGTGTGTGGGGTGAGCGGTGGGGCCTTGGCTTGGTGCTGCCCATGTCCCCCGCCACCCACCCCTGGCTCCCTGTTCACCATCAGGCAATCGGAGCCTGCCGGCCGGGGAAAGGGACCAAGAGGGCGTCAGTGTGCCTCATAGTGACTGGTCCAGAGGTCATTCTGGTTGTTCTGCCTTTAGGGTCAATTTGCATATTACCCTTTTATTATATAGGATGGTGTGTGTGTGTGTGTGTGAGAGAGAGAGAGAGAGAGAGAGAGAGTCACATGAATAGTCTACCTAATTTCAGTCCCTTTCAACATCCTAAAGGCATTGACTTCAAGCTATAATAACTTTGTTTAACAGTCTGAACATAAAGGGAAAAATTCAGTGCATACAAACCAATTACAAATAACGTCATTATCAAATAGAGTTGAAGAACTTACTAGAGTTTCCCTTTTTATATCCTGATATTATCGTCATAATTATTGATGAAATATTATTTTTAAAACATTTTAGTTTAAGAAATTTATCACAACTTTTGGTAAAGAAAGCTTTTCCCCCTTCAAGAAAATATTCTTGTATTTAGTTAATTCCTTATTGTTTCTAACATTGGTATTAAAAGAAGCTAATAAAATTCCAAGATTTTTAAATCATGTATTAGAAAGTACATATAATGAAAAGATAAGGAAGTTTGGTTTGATATCAGAAATGTTAGCTATGCTTGATTTCTGAATATTTTGGATATATTTATTTCTGAACTAGTTATGACTGTTTTATAAGTTGAATTAGTAGTTCACATGATCTAATTTCATAGAGAGTTTCTTCTACTTTATGACTTTGACTAGCTTTCTTGTATCTTAATAATATTAAATTTAAAACTTATGGAAAGAGTTACAGTAGAAAGAGTAATTTCTGATTCTCATCTTCCAATCTCCTCTTTGGGGCCAACATTTGGTATCTGGTTTCGGGCGTGTCTTTCTAGAACTATTTCATGCAGTCACAACTATGCTAACAGATTTGTTTTAAAAAAATACATGAATGGTAGTACATTGTACATACTATTGTGTATTTTTTATTTTCTTTGTTTCATTTAGTGTATCTTTGGATAGCTTTGCATATCAGTACCCAGTAGTCCTGCAAAGTAGTCATTTTATTCATTTAATTTGTTCCCCTATTGATGAGTATTTTGATTTTTAATAACATCTTACTACAATAACAAACTATTCTATAATGACTATGCTTATATCTACATTAGTTTTTGCAGGCATACCCATAAGATAAGATCCTTGAAGTGGGATTGGTAGGTCAAAGGCTGTATGTGTGAGAGCTTATTTGTATTAACTTCTCTGTAAATTTTGCTCATTTTTCTATTGGGTTGTTGCTCTTTTTCTTAATGATTTGTATTGGGTGTGGTCCTTTTTCATTGATTTGTAGATGCTTTCTAGATATTAGTTTAGGGGCATGACTTTTAGTCGGTGTGGTTATTGCTCTTTTTGCAGTTTGCTTTTTGTCTTATCACTTTACTCATAATGTTTTTCTTTTCATAAACCATATAGAATTAATTTTTTTCAGTCCTTTATCATGTGTGTGTGTGTTTGTGTGTGTGGCTTTTGACTTTTGACTATACTCATAATGGTCTTTCTCATTCTGAGATTATGTAAAAATTCTAATTTTTCTGGTACTTTTATTGTGTCTAAATTTTTAATTCCTCTGCAATTAATTTTGCTGTAAATACTAGGGGAGAAATTCTTATTCTTTTCCCCATGTATTTAATTAATTTTCTCTAAACATTTATTAAATAATCTGTTTTTCCCTAGGCATACTAGGCATCTTTACTAAATTTTTATTTAACCTACTCCACTGTATTACCTTTGTATTCATGTACCAAATATCACCATTTTAATTCTTAACTCTATGATATGTTTTTTATTCATTATTCTTTCAGACTTTTATTGGAATTTTCTGTATTTTTACTTTAAATATTTTTGTCGTACACATTGAACCTGAATTTAAGAAACTCTTTGTTGTAGCTGCGGATAAATGGTGAAAAGTTGGAAGAACTCTTATCTGAAAGAGCTGTGCAATTTCGGGCCATCCAGCGCCGGCTGTTAACAAGGTTCAAAGACAAAACTCCTGCCCCCCTCCAACACCTGGACACGCTGCTGGACGGCACCTACAAGCAGGCAAGTACAGGGCCAGTGGTAGTACCTCTGCCACGTTCTGCTGATTTTGAAAATCAGGTGCGTTTTTTCAGAGTTAGCTTCCCTAGAGGAAAGAAAAATAGCTAATATGTAAACCTCAATAACTGTATTGATAATATATTTGCTGCTTGAAATCCTCATGGTTATTTGAAAAGTCTGTAGCAGCAGGAGGGCGCTCTGGAAAGAACACTGGGCTTTTTTCCATTCGATGGGGTAGGTACTCACCGTGTCCTTACGGAGATTCTGCTCCACAGTGTATGTGGGAGTGCGGGGCACATGGCTCCCCAAGACAGACGGGGTGCTCCGTGCAGGAGGTTACGTGGCTCCTCGTAGGCCTCATGGGTCTCTGGTCCTCACACACTCTCTCTCCCGCGCCCTTTTCATTTGCTTTGTTTCTCATGGTTTTCTTTCCCCTCCTCCTCGGGATCGCTCTGTTGACTTGTCTCTCTCCTTCTCGGGCCTCCGGCCATGCCTCCCACACGTGGGCTGCAGGTGGGCTGAGTCTCGTCTTTCATGAGGCTGGGTCTTTTTGTGGACACAGTGGCAGAGGAGTGCTTAAAGGCATTTGATGAGGATGCTTGATTTAATGCTTTCCATCTTTTCCAGATAGCAAGACTTCCTTGTCTCTATACACTTAAAGTGCTGGTTTTTTTTGTTTTCTGCTTAGCCTTGGGGTTGGGTTTTTCCATGATATGTACGGTTACAGAAAAGATGATCAAAACCAGGGTTTTCACTTGAATCTGTATTTTAAGCCTCCATTCTTTTTAGATAAAAGAGGGGAATGAACAAGTTTTCAAAAGAAAAATGTGAATACTATAAGAAAATGTAACTTAGTTTCAATGTAATTCACAACTCAATTTTATCATAAATATTCACATTAAATTATAACTAGATAATGTTCTTTATTTTAATTATTTTTAGTAAATTTTTAATGACATAGTTAAATCATGAACATAATTTCCCAATGAAAATTACAAGATTATACATAAGGCTAAATTCTCCAGCTTGATTCTTTATCAACTTTTCAGAAATATAATCATGTTCCCTAACCCTTGAACTTAGGTTTTCTTGTACTTTTGAATTAGAGAACCTTTTCTTGTCATTAGAATCTTATTCATTTATAATCAGTTGTGGTCTATGGACTTTAAGATCCATTAGTTTTGTCAAGAGATGCTTAACGCAAGCAGAGTATGTGTGTTGTGTGCAGGCTAACGAGGCTGCCTGGACATTCACTGACGTGCTCAGTTCGGCCAGTTGTTTGGAGATGGACTCGCTGTCTAGTCTCCTTGCCTATCCTCCCCTCAGCCCTGTCCCGGGCGGGCTCACGGGACCCATGTTTGGTCTCATGCTCTGTGGTAGTCATCTTGAAATCCCTAGTACTTATTGAATAAAAGGCCCCGTATTTCCGTGTTGCTCTGGACACCACAGCAATGGAGGCCCTGGCTGTCAGGGTACTCATTTGTGATGAATAGGACAAGAAGACCGAGAGTTCCAATACACGACAGAGTTCAAAGACAGAGTAGAGTTTTCAGACAGAATGGCTTTATTACCACTGCAAATTTCCCCAAAAGGAAGGAAAAGAGGTGCAGTGGGTATCTGTGAGAGCTCCTCTGGACAACTCTGGGCTTCCTTCTGGGAAAGGCATCCTGGCTAAGTGACCCTGGAGTGACAAGTTTAACTCACGTAGGAGCACTGTTCTGCATTCGTTGTCTCTAGACTTCCAACAGGTGGTCACTGGCATAAAAATCCCCCGTCAATAGTTATAAGGTTAGGTGCACAAGGGGGTCAATCAAGCACTTGTCTCCTGCTGTGTCTTTGATTGGACAGTGACTGAAACCCACACGCCCACATTATTGTTTTACTCTTACTAGCATGCCTGTCTTTAGTGTCGGCCTGCTGCCACCTCGCACTCATGGGGGCACCTGCCAGGCAGTCCTCCCTGGCCACCAGCACTGAGCAGAAGGACCAGTGCTCTTGCTCTGGAGAAAGCATCTTGGGATTCTTACACGGGAAGGGCCTGGCCCCCTGAGTGAAGATTTTCCAGTTGCTCACCACAATTTCAAGAATTTATTCTCAAATTTGGGGGGAAAAAGGCTTCCTTTTAGAAAGATCTTTTACTTTCTAGGTGAAGAGGTATAATGTTAAATGAAAGTAAGCATGTGGAGAATTTCTTTTTTTAATTTTTAGCAGCGAGACACCTAAATTTCATCATTTGTATAATTGGAATTACTGCCCTGTCAACCATCTAAATATGGTTTTGAAGAACCTAAGAAAGGAAGTAAGGCAGGGGTGGGAAATGTCTGTCTGGCCCTGCAAAGGCATTAGGGGTGAGTTAATTGAATGTTTGACAAACATATCAGGCTAATTTTTAAGTTAATAATTTTGTATGGCCCTTGAATGATGTTATAAATATCCAAATGGCCCTTGGCAGAAAAAAGGGTTCCCCACCCCTGAAGTAAGGGGAGAGAAGAGAAATTCATATTTATTGAGTATCTGTTGAGTCTTAGGTCAGTTTCATTTATCACTTTATTTAATACAATCATTTTGTGAGGGTGGCATTATTGCTCCCACTTTATGGGTGAAGAACTTGAGGCTCTGAGCGGAGTTAAGCAACTTGCCCAATGTCACAGATTCTGAAGTCCCTGCTTTCCTAACTCATGTGGCATTTTCATTTTAATCATTTCCAGATGGAATGTAGGCATCCTAGGTTTTCTTTAGCAAAACTACAGTAGGATTAAAGAAAAAGAAGATTCATGCAAACTCTTTGTGCATATGCGCAGCATATATATATTATCAGCCACCCAGCATTCATTGCGAATACCCTACTGGACAGGTAACGGAATCTGGAGCATTCCCGAAAGGATATATTACATCTGAAACTGGGTTATCAGGGGAAGAGGCGACTGTTAATGTGTTGACTTTTCCTGAAGTTCAGTTTTCTTTGCCGTCCAGTGCTAATGTTTATTGCATTCGGCAGAAAAGCTTTGGAAAATAAGTTTTCTTCACATTATAAAATTTTCACGTATGTTTGTTAGTCAAAGCCGGACTGATGGGTTGAACTGAATGAAGGGAACTTAGACTTACCCTCCGGCTTGGCTTGTGCTGTGATGCTCTTGTGTGTACCGAGATTTCTCCTCCCCACAGGAACACTGACCCTCTGTTGTAGCAGAGGGAAAATGTTTACTAATCTGAACATTTAATTGTGTCAGATGACATATGTGTGATGTAATGACTTATAGTCATTAATGTTCTAGAAAAGCACTTGGCCAATTTCTCTCTTGTGGAAAACAGGGGCTGTATTAGGCCTAATTTTAAACAGAGATCCTGTGGTTTCGTTTTGCTATTTGTTACTTTTTCTGTGCTTAAAACTTCCTTCCACTCTGTTTATTTGTATGGAATTGATATATAAAAGTCATTTTCAGTCACACAGAAGTCTGAGAGCTTTTTGGTCTATGACTTTTCAAATGAGCATGATTTTGGCCGATAACACAAAGGAATATGTGATGAAACGCTTCAGAGGCCCGCGTTCCTCTTTGCCATGGCAAGGAAAACACTCTGCTAATAGGCTGAGAGGAAGTCTCTGGGATGTGGTGATGGGCTGCATTTGTTTTTCTTATACCCACTTAAGAGCTAAAAAGAAATCTTTCTGTGAAGGAGAGAATAAACAGGTCAGAAGGGGCACAGAAATTTGCAGTCACATGCTTGGGATGAATAGAAGAGGTAAGTTAACAAAGAAAAGGATGGGATGGCAAAAGAAAAAAAAAGGATGGTTAAAGAAAAAAAAAAAAAGGAAGTTTGTATGTCTTTACCCCTTATTTCTACTCTTGGAAAATAGTTCACAAAGTTGTTTATTTACAGTATTAATCACTTTGGCAAGAAATTAGAAACCAGCTTTTCATAGTTGGAAAATGATTAGGTTATTGTAGTTTTATTTGAAATGATATCATTTCATGTCATTATTTAAAAAACTGGAATAATAGAAAACATTTCTAGTAATTGAAAAAAGCAGGTTAATATGTAGTAAAGAAATAATGAAATGGATGTATCTATAATAGGTAGGTGAGCAAAGATTTGGAAGAAATAAAAAATTAAAAATGGTATACATTTGTTTTAGTTGACTTTGTGTTCTTAAACCATCTCCTTTAGTATTATGATCATAATTTGATAAGCATGAAAATAATTTTTTCACAATTCGTGAATATACTTAATGCTACTGAACTATACACTTGAAAAATAGTTAAGATGGTAAATTTTATAGTCTTTGGGTTTTACTACAGTTAAAAGAAATAATAACTTTTTGAAAAATGGGATATAGCCCAGCTGGTGTGGCTCAGTGGTGGAACGTCAACCTATGAACCAGGAGGTAAGGGTTCAATTTCCTGTCAGGGCCCATACCTGGGGTGCGGGCTGAATCCTCAGTAGGGGGTGTGCAGGAGGCAGCCAATCAATGATTCTGATCATTGATGTTTCTATCTCTCCCTCTCTGAAATCAATAAAAATATATTTTAAAAGAGAAAAAGAAAAAGAAAAATGAGATATGCTCCTCAACTCCTGGTCTTCATTGGTATTTTCGGAGGAAATATTTTCTCTCTCTTATGTATACCTTAGAAGCTAATTTCTCTAGTTTCCAAATGTGTAGAATTTTGGGTTATTATTTCATATACAAAAATTTGTGCACTCGGGGGGTGGGGGGTGGTTCCTCAGCCCGGCCTGTGCCCTCTCGCAGTCTGGGACCCCTTGGGGGATGTCCGCCTGCTGCCTTAGGCCGCTCCCCGGGGGATCAGGCTTAAGCTGGCAGTCAGACATCCCTCTGGCAGCCTGGGAGCCCTTAGAGAGGCCTGTTGCATGAAAAGATTCGTGCAATAGGCCTTCCCTTCCCCTGGCTGCCAGCTCCGGTTTTCCTCCGGCATCCGGCACCCAGGCCTTCGCTCCGGCTGGAGCCACCTTCAGTGCCTTCGCTGCTCCCGCCGGAGCCATGTATG